TACCAGTATTCCCCACTGCACCGTTGTTCACCAGGGAATTTGGAGCCACAGTACGAGGCCAGTGTCCATCATGAGAAGAGCTAGGGATCGCCACAGGTCTGGCAGCAGGCTGTGCAAAGATGATGCTGGGATCATTCAGGCCAATACTGCTGGGAGCACTGCCGGGGCCAGAGTGGATCACTGGGCCGTGGATGGGCCAGGATGGAGGAGGGATCTGGAGGGGATGCATAGGCAACAAGCCCATATTGTGCATGGGAGAATACTGAGCTGGTGGAGACTGGGGAAAGTTATACATGGGCATCTGGACCTGATGGGAAGGCTGGGCTCCCTGCTGAGGGGGCCCAAGCTTAGGCTGGGTTCCTGGCTGGGACTGTGTCTGGGTAATAGCAGCGGATTGGTTAGAGTTCTGTGGAAACGGCTGGGGCTGAGGAGAATAAGACGGTGAGTCAGACTGCAGGAGAAAAAAAAAGACATTTTAAAATTCATATACAAACTCTTCATTTTTAAAAATAGAAATGGTCAAAGTATAAAATTATCGAATTATTTCACTAGGATAATATACTCAGAATTATTTACTGTATATAACAAATAATGGTAAAACATCGTATTACATGACGGCAGAATTTTCCCCAAGTTACCCAAATATTCTCTCACACAGATATTGCCTCCTAAACATTTTCAATGACTAAGGAAAGAACTCAGACATCATTCCCATCCTGTAAATAGTATTACCCATTGGGAACTAAAAACTTAAATTTTTATTAAGTCTCACAGCCAGGGACCAGTATCGTGGAACAATACGCTGAGCCACTGGCTGTAACACTGCAATCCCATTTCAAGAGCACAAGGTTGACACTCAGCTGCCCCACTTTGACTCAGCTCCCTGCTAATGCATCTGCAAAGGCAGCATAGGTCAGCCTAAACACTTGGGCCTTGCCACACACACAGAAAACCCAGATGGAGTACCTGGCTTTGGCTAGGTCCCTGGATCTAGGACTGGCCAATGTGGACATTTGGGGAGTAAAGCAGCAGATGAAAGTTTTCAATCTCTCTTTTTCCTTCTTTCTCTCTTTTTCTTCCTCCCACCTCCCCAACAACAGCTATTCAAATGTACGGCCCATGAAGCTTAATGTTTAGGGGAAGAGGGGGAAGCAGGGAGTAAATATTACACAGGCAACTCCAATCAAGTATTATGATTACTGAGAAAGACATAATCTACGTATGAAGCCCCATAGCAGCAATGCCTAAACCCAAACTGACAGAAGAGGATCAAGGATGACTGGAACTCAAGGAATGTCTCCCAGAAGAATTGACTTTAAAAGGTTAAGACTCAAGGTTAACCAGAAACTGGTCAAATAAATGGACATAAAGTGGTAAGAGAAAAGGAAGAGTGCTGTGAGCAGAGGAACAAACCAACTGAATGCATACTGCACTGGGCCTGGGAAGATGAGAGCTTTTAAGATAGGAACAGAAACCCAGAGGAATGCCAATTGGTTTTAAGCTGGGACATTTTTCACAAAGTGAAAATAACAAGGTTATAATTTGATAAAGTAGCTACATGGGTTTATTATTTTCTATTCTCTCTATTATTTTTAAAAATATTTTCTAAAAACAAGAGAGGCCTGCACAGGGACATATAAAGCTAATTTTCAGCCTGTGGTGCTAGTATCCCACATGGGCACAGGTCCATGTCCCAGCTGCTAATGGCCTGGGAAAGCAGCAGAGGATAGTCCAAAATTCTTGGGCCCCTGTAACTACATGGGAGACCTGGAAGAAACTCCTGGCTCCCAGCTTTGGACCAGGCCAGTTCTGGCCGAAAGAGCCATCTGGGAAGTGAACTAATAGATGGAAGACTTCTCTCTCTCCCTGTCTCTGTAATCCTACCTTCTAGGTAAGAATACATTAAAAGAATAAATAAATAAAATAACACCTAACACTCTGCACATGTCAATTAAATTAAATATTATTATATCACATTTATGAAAGTTATCAAATGCATATTATTCAGATATTTTGAGTAAGAATAATACTGCTCTTCAAATATTCTGAGTCTTTTCTAAAATACGAACACATCTGATTTAGAATTTTTAACAGGTAAGATTTGAAGCTAGAAACAAGCTTCTATCTCCTAATTTCTCTCATTTTTGCCAATATTTAAATTTTCAGCTTACCAGTTTACTCAAAAGAACAAAACTTCATAGTGAGTGTATAACGGTGAAATAGTTTGAGATGTAGAATAAGCACTCAGTATAGAATTCATCAATTCAAGCAGTGAAAATTTAATACAGATTTAGACAAACATCAACAGCAAATTATCAAAGTTAATAAAAAACTTTGTGAACAACAGGTCAAGCTGCCACTTAGGAAACCGAAATGATATATCAGAGTGCCAGCCCAAGTACGGGCTGCTCTGTTTCTGATCCAGCTTCCCGCATTTAGGCCTGGGCAGGCAGTGAACCATGACCAAACACATGAGTTCCTGCCATCTGTGTGGGAGACCTGGACGGACTTCCTGACTCCTTTCTTCAGCCTGACCTAAACCTTGCTGCTGTAGCCATTTGATGACTAAATCAACGGATGAAAGAACTACCTCTGTCTGTTTCTCTGTCACTCTGTACTCATTTCTTTTTTTTTTTTTTATTTTTTTTAAAGATTTATTTTTATTATTTTTTTATTGGAAAGGCGGATATACAGAGAGGAGATACAGAGAGGAAGATCTTCCGTCTGATGATTCACTCCCTAAGTGAGCACAACGGCCGATGCTATGCCGATCCGAAGCCAGGAGCCTCTTCCGGGTCTCCCACGCGGGTGCAGGGTCCCAAAGCTTTGGGCCATCCTCGACTGCTTTCCCGGGCCACAGGCAGGGAGCAGGAAGGGAAGCGGGGCTGCCGGGATTAGAACTGGCGCCCACATGGGATTCCGGGCATGCAAGGCGAGGACCTTAACCACTTGCGCCACCACGCCGGGCCCACTCTGTACTCATTTCAAGTCCCATAGCAGGACTGGTGCATCTTAAGTATGTATATATGTACATAAAACGTGTAAGTCTGAATTCTAACTTGATATTCTGTTTTAGAGTACGTAGCTATCCATAAGGCAAACTATGAGAAGATAAAGCTTCATGCAGGCAAAGCCCCACATGCATATTTCTCTAATAGCACTAAGCATAAATTTTTATTAACGGTAGACATTTTGGATTAGGTATAGTCTGAACCTTTAAAATCATAACCTTATTTTAATTCATCCTATTAGTCGTTTATTTACTTTAGAAATGAGGGAGCAGGCTCAAATAAACAAAAGACATTATTCCAAAAGTAATGCTCATTCCATCCTATGTGCCTATCAATAATACCTTTACAAAGTACTAAGATGTCTGAGAGATAAACTATCAGCCATTAAAGATACTGCTCTAATGCTGTCAAAATGCACTCATCACCAGGCTTTCTACTTACACATTCTGAGGACTGTCTAGTCCTTATGGGCTGATCACCCTGTGGCTGGCCGGAACCAGCCACCTGCTGGGCATTGACAAGGTTGCGAACCAGCTGGGCTGCTAAGAGAAAACATCACAAAGAAAATTCAGAGAGAAAGTAGCAGGTAAATCAGAATCAATAAACTCCCTTCACATGTAACACAATCTCAAACATCTCCAAAATTTTATAAACTTGGACTTTGAACTCTGTATTAGTGAAGAACTTGTAATAAAAGCTATCTTTTTTTTTCATTTTTTAAATTCCACAGATCAAATAGAAACTAAAAAACACTGGTTCTAAAAACAATAGTTGCCAACCTTTTTATCTAAAGAAGACATAATAATTTGTGCAAAAGGAGACTAAATAAATGGAAATCAGCACTTCTAAAACAGTCTTTTCTTTCCCTTCACTAACTTTCATTTGGGTTCATATCTAATTCTTAAAATTCCATGTGATACAAGATTGAACACATTTCCCTCTCTCATTTTACTCATGGGAAGAACAAATTATTTTCCTTACATGTTTCCGGGGCTTAAAAAACAAAAACAAAACAAAACCAAAAAAAACCTCTCACAAAATATATTACATTGTAGGCCCAGCATGGTAAGCCTAGTGGCTAAAGTTATCACCTTGCACGTGCCAGGATCCCGCATGTCCCAGTGGACCTACTCCCCTTCCAGCTCCCTGCTTGGGTCTGGGAAAGCAGTATAGCATGACCCAAAAGCCTTGGGACCCAGTAGCCATGGGAGACATGGAAGAAGCTCCTGCTTTGAATTGGTGCGGCTCTGGCCGCTGTGGCCACTTGGGGAGTGAACCAGCGCACAGAAGATCTTCCTCTGTTTTTCTTCCTCTCTGTACAGCTGACTTTCCAATACAAATAAATAAAAGCTTTAAAAAAAGAAGTTACAGTGAAAGAATAATTCTAACTTCAATCCAGATAATACTTAAATGGAATTAACTCAATACAACAGACTGTGGAGAACTTGATGATGAATACATTCTGGTACTGTTCACAGTAAAGGTACGACTGTCTGAACTTCATCTTTCAATAAATTACAAGACTCAGATCCACGCAATTAGATTTGAAAGAGAAAGGATTAGGGATCCTTAACATGACACCAACAGAAACACAGAAACAATTTACAATCTTTTGGATTTACCTGCCACATTACTATTCCTTTGACGGGCCAGCTTGACTTCCGGGCACTCCCTTCGTACATGTCCTGCATCTCCACATATAAAACATCTGAGATCTCTGGGGTCTCTGAAGTCCCGAGTGTCGTGGAGATCTCGGGCCTCAAGATCTCGGGACTCTTTGTCCTCTTCATTTCCTTCTTTCTCTTCTTCGCTGTCTTTCTTCTTTACTCTAAACAATAAACTACTGATACCAATAATGTGGAAGCTAGGGACTTGTAAGCTTAGTGAATGACAAAGCAAAATCAACTATCCAAGAGTCTCCACCAAAACAAAGAGAATGATATGCCCAGTGTTCATGCATTGTTTGGTTTTGCTTTTTTGTTTTTTAAAGGGAACTCCAGCGCATCTGCTGACATGGAAAAAACAGGTTTCTAGTTTAATAACAATACTGTACTCAAAAATGTTTTAATATCAGATTTTAAGTATCCAATAATCCTTTGAGATTGATATTTATATGTTCTGTCTGGAATGTTCCTTTTCTTACACTTGATCTTAGCCAAAAGGCCAAGAAGCGATGAAATGTTCCTTTTTTTATATTACACCAGACTCAATGAAAAAAACAAATTTTCCTGGCCTATAGAGTCTGGGAAAGTATGATTCACAGATATATTTAGAAGGGCCATTTAGGGTGTATATTCTTCAAAATATCTACCATATCCGTGTACCTGACAGTCTTTATCTCAAGGACTCAGTTAACTGTATTTTAATTGTTGGTCTGCATGACTGTGATGTCCTCACACAGAAGTCCACATCTGAAACACTTCTCTTGGCTCCTGGTACAGCTCTTTTCAAGTGGAAAGGCAACAATAAACACTTTTTCAATTAAAAATAAGTGAAACAGATTGGTGAGTAAATGAATAAGTGAATGTTGTAAGACACCATTACCCACAGCTAGAGGCAACTGCCTGGCTGCTTTGTACTGGCAAGTAGTGTCACTGCTGGTAGAAAAGCAGCCAAAAGCTGGTGCACATCTCAGGCCTGGTTAATGCCAAATTTATATTAACTACACCAATGTACCAGCAGAGTTACCTGTTCAGTTTTTTTTTTTTTAAAGATATGCGGGGAACGTGGGCATAGCTGGGCCACAACAAATCACTCCAGCCCCCAGGCAGGGGGCTGCAGACTTCCTGAGGAATGGGATATGGGAACAAATTGGGGAGCAGATGAGGACATGTTTGATAAGGGAGAAATGACTTCTGGGTCTTTTGCAGACCAGGTCACTACACTTGCATATTGGCAAAGGATCTGAGACCAGGAGGTTTACAGGGGGAAAACCAGAGACCATATCTGGGTCAGGCCAAGGATCTCACCCACATGAGACCTGCGCTGGACTGTGCTAAATAGCATTGCCTACCACCCACTGACACATGCAAAAGCAGGCACTAGGAGAATGCCTGGTTGGGCTAGGTTACAGAACTCATGGGTGATTGTCACAGCAAAGGGGTGGACCACTACAGGCTGGGCCACAGCACCTACCAGAATGCAAGAGACCCAGATCTGGGGGTGGATTCTGTAAGGGACTTGTGAGCTCAGCCTATATGGGACTACAGCCCACTCTGGTTTGCACAGAAAGCTAGGGTGGTGATGGCTGAGCCAGGCTGGACTGTGAAACTCACCTGACACTCTCAGGAGCAAAGGCTGGGCCAGGCTGCAATACTCATCAGCACATGCAAAGGCCAGGCCTGAGGGCAAACCATGTCAAGCAGGGTTGTGGCACCTGCTGGCAAGCATGAGATCTGCAGCTGGAAGGGACTCCCTTACTGGGCTGCAGCATCCACTGCTAAGTTCCTGGACTGGGTGCGAGTCATGTAAAGCTGCACCACAGTACCCCCTGGCAAGTGCAAGATATAGAGCAGGAAGTTGGCCCAGTAGGGGCGATGCGGACAACGTGTGGACAATGTGGCAATGTGGGCTGCAGCTTTTGCTAGTGAGCATGAGAGTCACGGCTGAGTATAGGCAAGGTTGGTCACAGCAATAGCACCAATACAGCACACATGGAATCCAGGTCTGGGGGTAAGGCAGGCTGAGTTAAGCTATAGCACCCATGGGAGTGCAGACAGGACATGGATCAGACTGCAACACATGCCAGCATACGCAAACACCAGGACTGGGGAGGGACTGATGAAGGTTATTGGGGATTGCTCCTACCAGGCCACAGCACCCACTAGGGCCTGTGACGGGCTGGGTGGAGTAGCCCACAGTAACTGTCAGTTCACATGAGAGACGAGGCTGGAAGCAGAACTAACCAGGCAGCTGCATCCTCCGGTATGTACATGGGCTGGTGCAGGTGATGGACCACACCTGACATTGCAATAGCTGGCACACATGCGTCAAGTCTGAAGTCCCCACAGGCAAGATTTCCTGGGGGAATTGCCAACTAGATGGCTGGTCTCAAACACGGCCACAGGGAAAATCACAAGGTATGTGGTCCAACCTTGGAGCTCATGTGTCGGGACTGAGCCTCCCCAGTTGCTGATGCCTGTGCAGTAAACAGCATGCCCCGATGCACATGGGAGACATGACAACCAGGTCATCTAAGGCAGCAGTGGACATCAACTACCTCTTCAGAGGATGGAAAGCATAACAGGTTGGACAATTCTACTGGCCATGCTTTACAGGATGTTCTTTAGCCTGGGGATGCACTAAGGTCAGCCAACAGACCTTGAAACATTTTCTGAATCCTGGTGTGACAAAGCTGACGATGTCTCAGAACTATCAAAACTACTCAAGGAACATCCTCAGAACACTCTTCCCCACATTGGAGCTTGTTAAAGCATCATCAAATGACTGTCCCCCATCCCTGGGTGCTGATGCGGTTTGACAGCAAGGAGTGGTCCCCTCCCTTTCCTTTGTTGCAGACACAGGAGAAAAGGAAATTGCAACATTTATCCCAATGCCCTTCCTCGATGCCACAACCAAGCCTACCCATAATCCAAGTTCCACAAGGGAATGCATCAATGTCAACTATGTAAACAACATTAAGAATTAAAATTTAAAAAGACACCATTACATCATAAATAACATCCTATTGAAAATTCCACTCAAATAAACATATATCTATGGTCCGGTATAAAGACTGGAATTTTCTTGCTTAAATATTTTTAAACACAAATACAGCTACAAGTTGGCCTCATGTTTATGTCCTCTACAAGGCTGATACACAATCATTTGCCAACCTTTTCCTTTTAGGGCAATCTTTCATGTAGTGGCCTATTTTTCCACAGACACGGCAACATCGATCATTGGGAGCTAGTTCTCCATCTGTTAATACTCTCGAATCAAAGAAGTACTCCTAGGAAAAATGAAATTTTGCCATAAAAAAATCACTAAAACTTTTGGAAAAAAAAACAGAAAAAGAGATCAATCTAAAAATAGTTTTAAAGAAAGCAGGAAATATAAACAAATATTTCAATAACATTAAAACTGTGATATCAGAAAGATTCATAATCATTACCAAAGCTAATAGAACTACACACGTCCATATCATATTGTAACTACTACAAATGAAATATCAATAAAACACATGCGATTTATCTTGATTTACTCAGATAGTTCATGACACTTGTTAAAAGCAACAAAGTGGTTAGAGACTCCAATAAACCAGTTACATCTAAGTCTGTCTTGTCACAAAGCTTATGTTTTTGTGCTACATCCGGTTACTTCTACAAAAAATACTCTCTAAACTTTACATAAATAAACAATTCTCGGGTTTATCCAAATATAATTTGATTTGCATGCAAGCTAAAGTATACTGAAAAAGGTAAGAAAATTAATAAATAAATGATTTCCCCCCAAGTTTTATATTCTGAGCCCATTTTTGCTTTACTTTAATACTTTACTTATCCCTCTTCAACTTTGGTTCAGTAGTTTAGTATCACAAAGACTAACTGGTTCTAACAGTAACTACACTTCCAGAAAGCAAGGTAATATATTCTTCACTTAAGCTGTCTTCAAATCTATTTAAAATAGGAACAGGAAATAGAGATTGTGGGAGGCAGGTATGACTGAGTTCCTTTCACCAATGTGGCAGCCACCGAGTTCCTGGCTCTGGACTTTGGCCAATCCCAGCACTGGCCATGGAAGCACGTAGGAAGCAAAGCAGGTTCTGCTGTCTCTCACACCAAGCTATTAAAATCAGAGAACGGGGCACGTGTTTGACACAACACTCAATAGCTGCTTGAGACACCTGTGTCCCATCTCAAGGGTACCTAGGTCCAGTCCCAGCTCGTTTGCTTTCAATCCAGCTTCACGCTAGGGTACACACTAGCAGGCAGTGACTTCTAGCTCCAGATTTTATGTAGTGATGGCGGTTGCTCTATTTGGGAGTAAACCAGCAGATGGAAAGTTTTGGGATAGCAGTGTGGGTGTATTTCTCCATGTTAAATAAATAAAAATTAAAAAGAGGATCCAAGTACTTGGACCATGGCCATCCATGTGTGACTCTCCCTATCTCTTCCTCTAACTCAGACTTTCAAATAAATACATATTTTTAAAAATGTTTAAATCAAAGAAAAATCCAATAGAATGGTTACAGTTATTTTTTTCATGAAAGCAACATTTTAACAAAAATTGTCATTTTTTTTTTTCATTGGAAAGGCTGATCTACAGAGAGGAAAATCTTCCATTCATTGGTTCACTCCCCAAGTGGCTGCATTGGCAAGAACTAAGCCTAACTGAAACCAGGAGGCAGGAGCTTCTTTCAGTCTCCCATTTGGGTGCAGGGTTCCAAGACTTTGGGCCATCCTCTATTGCTTTCCCAGACCACAACCAGGGAGCTGAAAGGGAAGTGGAGTAGCTGGGACATGAACCAGCACCGATACGGGATCCTGGTGCGTGCAAGGTGAGAATTGAACCACTAGGCTACTATCGTGCCAAGCCTAGCAATAGTTTTTAAATCCTATAGCAAGATATTGGTGAGAATAAAGGGAAATTACAACAGATGAATAATGCTAGAAGGAATGTAAAATAGCAATCACTTTAGAAAATTAGTTTAATAGCTCATTAAAAAGTTAAATATAAATTTGTCAAAGCAATGTATCAATTCCATGACAGACATATTGCCCAGGAAAATGAAAACATAAATTCATGCAAGAATTTGTATACTAATATTCAAAACAAACTTATTCAAAATAATCAAAAAATCAAGTGTTAGCTATACAAAGAAAATACTGATACATACTACAGCACAGATGGGTCATGAAAATATTTGTAGTCAAAAATCTAGTTCCAAAAGACTAGGTATTATATGACTATCTTTGCATAAAATATCCAAAATACACATATTGATAAAGAAAGAGTACATTAATGGTACAGGGTAAAAGACAAAAGGGATTCACTGGGCCCAGTGTGGTACCCTAACGGCTAAGCCGTCAGCTTACACGTCCTGGGATCCCATGTGGGTGCCGGTTTGTATCCCCATTGATCCACTTCCCATCTACTTCCCTGCTAATGTACCTGAGAATGCAGTTGAGAATGGCTCACGTTCTTGGGACCCTGTCAGTTTGGGAGACCCAGAA